CCTCTCTACCATCGTCATAGATTTTGGGGTACACCACCTCCAAAATTGACAATTTCTTTTCTCACAAATGAAATATAGTCTCCCTTTAGATGGCTTGTTAAGCTCGGTAACCCTTATGGGAGCTCTTAGCCCACAATCACATTTCAAAGCCTCATACTTCAAGTCGAAGGTCTCAACATTAAAATAATAGTCACTAGAGGATGACATGCCTCTACATTATTTAGGAAGAATTGAATCCAAATCCTCTAAAATTGATTGGGAAGTTAATTGTATATACATTGCACCCAACAAGTATTGATTGAAAAAAATGTTTCTAACATATTGACAATTCGTTTGCCACAATTTCTTTTGACACCATTTGATATATCCCCAATCAAGTCCGTGTCCAAATGATGTATTGTAACTAAAGGTGTAAACTTCAAATTTTAAATTAATATGACAACAACAACAACAACAAAAAATTGTAAATTGTTACACATAGATTAACTAGTAACGTGACTTGTCCAAAGTTGGCACAAGAAATACAAGTCTTTGTAGACAATACATTATCTTCAAGTAAATGCAGCCTTATGTTAATTAATTGTTATTGTTCAATACATTATCTTCAAGTAAATGCAGTTTTACTCCCAATTATCTGGAATGATTTTCAGACACAGATGTTTTGTCCCTCTGTTTATTCCATCACCAGCCTTATGCTATTTTTTTTACTATGGTTGTAACGCTGAAAGGTGCTTGATCAAATCTTGATCTTTTAAGTTCTACGAAACAGGCACAAAGTTGTTCTAGTTATATCCTCTCAATCTTAAAAGGAAAAAGTGAAAAACTGGCCATTCAACCACAAAAGCAAACAACAATCTTCTGATAATAATAATAAAAAAAGAAATTTCTCAAGCAAATACATTCACATTCTCTACTTTTCTCTCTTCTCTACTCTTCTCTTGTCCAACTTGTCTCCTCTTTTTCCTCTTCTTTTTTTCAAATTCTTTCCCACCCTGCAAAACTACCCAAATTTCTCTGAAACAGAGAGACTTTTCAGGGATAATCACTTTTGGGCTTCGCAACGCAAGTTTGTTTCAATCGATTCATATTCTCTGATTTTTTTAAAATCTTTTTTTATTTTTTATTTTTTTTTGATTTTGAGATCTGTCTTGTTACAATGCTTTTTTGTTCAAGAACTTTCAATCATTTGAATTTTTTTCTTGATGAAAGTTACAATCAAATAACAATTCAAAAAAAAAAATAAAATGAAACAGTATCAAAGTAACAATAAATTATACAACAACATATGAACTCTAAAATAAAATATAATTGTTTCTTTCTTTTTCTTTTTCTTAGATTTTAAATTTATTAGTTTTTATTTCATGTAATTTTGATTGTGCATAATAACAAGAAGCAAATGAATTGTTTCTTTTAAAAAACACAAATCAAAAAGAAAGAAGAATCAAAGCAAGAAGATAGAGAGAGAGAGAGAGAGAGTGTGTGTGTATGTGTGTGTGTATGAGAGAGAGAGAGAGAGAGAGAGACAAATAGAAATAAGAGGAAATGATGAAGAATCTTACCTGAATACTCAAGTGTCGTACTCGTCGAGCGAATGGTGGCTACGGAAAAAAAAAAGAAACAAAAAGGATGATGAAAATTGGAGAAGAAGAAGAAAGCGGAGAGAGGAACAGAGACTGTGATCTGATCTCTGTTTGTGTAAATCCTAACTCGATGTGTGTATATATATATATATATAACAAACAAAGGGCATGAAATCTTACCTTTTTGGTGCCGATTAATGAAAAATAGGGAGGAAAGGAGTTTGATCGGCAGATCTTGGAGATGTGGAGGAGTTCGATCGTCTGATCTTGGAGATGTGGAGGTTCGTCGTCAGTTGCCAGAGAAGAAATGAGAAGAGGAGAGGAGAGTGTGAGAGGAGAGGAGTGTGCTAGGACAACATAGAAGAGGATTTATATAGTGGCAATTCTGCAATTGTTGAAGTTTTGGAGGGACGTTTAAGTCATTTCATCCCCCATGCGCACTTAAGTTGTTTGAATTAACCATCCCCCGAGTAGCTTTAGAATTTAAGCTGAAAATAGCTTTAAATAAGTTATAATCTGATAATTTGAGTTGTCCCAAACACAACATTATAGCTTAAATTAAGTCAAAAGCTGAAATAAACAGTTTTTAAGTTCTATTAAACAGACACATAATATATAAAAATTTTATTTTAAAAAATATATTTTTTTAACTATTAACAAACAGCCGGATCTATAAAAAAAATATATATTAACAAACATATCCAAAGTTACATCATTTTTTTTTATTTTTTTTGATAACTCCGGTATCCCCAACCCACTGATTTTAAGGGAAGCCAAAACTAATCCTGAGGGCCCTGAAGTTAACGACCGGACAAACCTCCAATGACCCAAAGAGGTGACTCGAACTCGAGACCTGTGAATTTTATCCTCCAGACATCATGTGAGCTGATTATGCAAATCTACCATGTACGTGCAAGCTTGCTTCTACTATATATATATATATATATAATATGCACCGACAAGAAGAAAGTATTCAGAACAATAATATTGTGTTTAAGGTCAAGAAACAATCCAAGTGGACTTATAGATTACAAAACAAGTGTACATAAATGCACGCCCCAGGAAGGAATGTTGCGTGGATTATCTGAATCTGAACTGTGTTGTGTAGTGTACCTGGAGACCACCAGACCAAATAATACACACCCTCCTTAATTGTGAGACTAGTTAAATTTGGACATATTCAACAATACTACATATTTAAAAAATAGGTATATTAAAAAAAAAATACATTTATAGAACACAATTCTTCTGAATATAATCCATATTTTATCAATTTTAAATGTACACCATCTATTACATTTCAAAATATAAGTTAAGATATAATTTCATGGTACTTTTATCTTTAGGTGTCTACTGTGAAAAAGCTGGGCTTGGGTTGGCTTTGATTGGACCAGCTTATAATTGTGTTTGGTGTAGTAGGGGGCATTGGAATGGGGCAGTAGACAAAATGGACAGAATCCAAATCTCCCCATTTTAAATTGATGCACAACTAGAAATAATTCAACAATAATGAACAAACAAGATGTTAATAATTCTACAATAATGGCTTCAAAAATGGGCTCATGTACACACTAGAGTTGGATTGAAATCATTCCATTACCATCATGATGACTTTCAATGAGAGCATTTCAAACAATTACTTTTCAGTGGCACAGTTTAAAATAAAATTTACATTATATGTGTTTATGTAAATTGTTAGTAGGTTTCGTTTGGGAACAGATTATTTTAATAATTTTTAAATTTTTGACTAAAATATAAAATAAAAAAATTAATACATTTGGAATAACTTTTTACTTTTTTACGAAAAGACGTATAAAAAGTAGAGAAAAAATAATTTTTTTGACTTTTTAATATAAGTTATAGGTTTTTTTGTTTTTTTAATAATTTTTTGACTTTTAGAGTAGATGTATTACATGTCAAACGAGGCCGAGGCCTAAGTATAAGAAAATGATTTATTCCAAACACAAGACAAACTTGTAATTCATAAAAATTTAAAAGATTTCATGGTGTTACTGATTTGAGATTTTTTTTCAATTCTTTTCAAGCACAAGGTTCCCTGTAATAAATCATTGTGTTCTTTTTCAAAATACTCACTATTAAATTATGTCTTTAGATTCATGTATCTCAAAATTGTTACATAATTTAAAATTTTGGAGTACTATTTAGGGGGAAAAAAAACAAAAACAAAAATAAAAAGATTTGAGAAGAAAATAAATTTAGCTTTTTGGGCACAATTTCTTGCTGTTGACTTGTGAGGAAATTTTTTTTGAAGTTTGAGTGTAGGAATCATGAGAGAGAGAGAGAGAGAGAGAGAGAGAGAGAGAGAGAGAGAGAGATTCTCGCTGTTGACTTGTGAGGAAATTTTTTTGAAGTTTGAGTGTAGGAATCATGAGAGAGAGAGAGAGAGAGAGAGAGAGAGGCAGTTTGGAATGAGAAGAAGGGTGAAAGGCACGAGACAGAGAGAGCATTGAACAATAAATAAATGGAAAGAGAATGCAATGTTAGTGCAAAAAGGTGATCAGCAGCAGCAGCAGCAGCCTCCTACTAGGATAGGGCACTCTTTCTCACTTCTCCCATCTTCGTTAAGTCGCTTTTATTTCCCTCATCCCAACATCTCCCAAAATTCCACACATCCTTCCTTACACTCCCTTGCCTTGCCTCCCCTTAGCTTTCCTTTGTCCTCTTTTTTCTCTCTCTCTCTCTCTCTCATCTAGATTGTGATCAATCCTACTGTTCTCGTTCTCTTTTTCATCCTTGTCTTTGAAACAAGAACTATTCTCTCTTTTCATTGCTCTCCCGTCCCATTGGCCCTTACTTTGGCCTTGTTTGGGGAAAGCTTTTTATTTTTTTTTGGGGCAAAAATTCATAAAAAAATAAAATAAAATAGGTTAAAATAGTTAATAAGATAAAATGTCACGTTAAACTCATAATCAATTCATTTTTTCTCTCACAAATATACATCCAATTACAAAAAAAAAAAAAAAAAATCCAATCATCTTCTCAAACAAAAATTTTAACCTATTAAAATAGTTAAAAACTAAAATAACTTACTAAAATAACCAACCTCCCAAACACCCGATTTGTTTTTACTTTCCCCCCCTCTCAAACTCTAAACTCAAAATAATACTTTCACATTCAATCTTTACATGTAGAGCAAAGCAAGGGCTGAAAAAGGCACCTACTGTTAGGGTTAGTCAAACTCAACAACACCCGAGTTCGAGTACTTCCTAGATCCTATCTCCTATCCACTCTCCCCTCCCTCTCCCAATCCAAAAAAGAAATACTTTGTAGTTAGTGTAAAACCGATTTCATTACCACCAATATGATCACATTTGTAAAACAACAGTGCTCAGTGCACAGAAATAAAACATAGAACCCACTACTCACAAAGAGATAGAGAGACATTGGTATTTGGTAGCTATGTGGATGATGGGTTGTAGTAGTGATTGTTGTAGTAGTAAGTTCAACTTCAACTTCAACAGGTCTGAATCTGATTCAATCAATAGTCGAAAACTTCGTCCTCTCATACCAAAGCCAACCACAAACACCACATTTTCTACAATGCCAAACCCTTCTTCTTATTGCACTTGTCTTCACAAAACCAATCTTTTTTCATTGAATGACCATATGGGTGGGTATATCATTTTCTCTCTCTTTTATTTTTTGTCTCCATTTTACTGTGTTATTCTACATGATTTTACTCTTTATGCTTGCTATTTTAATTTCTAATTCATTTGTGTTATTTTGTTGCATAAATTCTAACAGCTACCATGAAGGAGCAAAGCAAGGCAGATATTAATACCACAGTGGCATTGGTGAGTGCAAGGTGGAATCCAACTCCAGACCAACTACGTGCCCTCGAGGAAATGTATGAAGGCGGAATACGAACACCATCCGCTGACCAAATCCAACAAATTGCTGCAAAGCTTCGCCAGTACGGTAAGATTGAAGGCAAGAATGTGTTCTACTGGTTTCAGAATCACAAAGCCAGGGAACGCCAAAAACGCCGCCGCATTCTAGACTCATTATCTCAAGGCAAGTTATGTGATATCACTACTCTTCAAAGAAAAGAACCAGGTCCATCATTCATGACTTAACATCACAATTTCCCAAAGATTTTTATGGTTTTCATGTTATTTTATTACCCAAGTTCAAAGAATAGTGATTGATTTGGAAACTATTATTAATAGAATACACACACACACAGGTTTGTAAGTTGAATTTGCTTTGTTGGTTCTTCATGTCCACAGGGTTGAGTAAGACAGGTTTTGAAGTTGCACATGCAAAGAACAAAGCAACTTCTTCTAACTCTAGTACACTTTCAGAGGTATGTATTGTGTGTATATGATTGTATCCTACTACCTTTATCTTTCACTTGTCCATGTTTGCAAATTGCAGCACAAATTCAACTCACTAGTCACAGACTCATTATTACCCACAGAAAGTCAACCAATCTAAGAGCACAGACGAGGACCAAATACAGAATGAGACACCTGACTCACTATATGTCTCATTTTGTATTTGATATCTATGTTCCTAACATTGCTGATAAAAAAAATAGTTAAGAATCTATTCAAAATTTGAATGTATGATACATATTTAAATTTAGTGTCACACTCATATAATTATGATCCACACATTTTAATCTTAGACATTTTATAGTATTTTTTTTAAAAAGTGCATGTGTATATAGAAGATGATTAGAAGTAATAATAAGAGAATTATATGGCCAAAAGGTCAAAAGTTTGATATGAAGGAGGAGCAGGAAAAGTCTTTTTGTATGATGGAAAAAGTAGAGGATTGAGACACTGGTATCCTTACTTTCTGTTGGGTTTCTTGGGGCTATTGTTATGATGAAGGTTAGAATTTCTAGGACATTGTGTGTTAATTTACTCTTTTACTCATCAGCTTTTATTATCTGTAATTTTGTTTTAGGAATCTATATCAATACATAGAGCAGTGGGATCAGAAAGTAGATCAGATAGCCAGTGGATTCAATTCGAGGAGAAGGAATTGCAGCAGCAAAGAAGCAGCACACAAACCAAGCCTGCCACGTGGTGGCAGCTAATGAAGCCCTCCTCTTCTCCTCCTCTCATCCACTTCATCAACACCACCACGACCACAACTGATCCAGAAGATCAAACTCTTCAGCTCTTTCCGATTCGGAGCAACGATCATAATGCCTTTAATGTCGAAAAAAATGTCACTGAAGTGCCCATGATAGGTACTATAGACACTAGCTTCACTCCGAACGAGTTTTTTGAGTTTCTTCCTGTGAAGAAATGAAGAAATTATAAAGTTCTTGCTTGTCCATGTAGTTGGAAAAAATTGATAATCATGAGTTTCATGCATAATACTGTATGAAGGATTTTTAAGTACTTTTTGATTTTGATGATCTTTGTTAGAATCATGGTTTTAAATATCAACAAATTTTTGAACTTTTAATACTATAATTTATTTATATATAAATTGATACTATCTAATATTAACTTATATATGAATGCATCGTCGATACCGATACGTATCAATATACCGGCATTTAAAACTATGGTTGGAACTTGAGGTGGGGCACTCATTTTCCAAAGTCTTTATGATTTGCATGGTGAAACACTAGTAGGGAATAATGACAAGTAGGGGAGTGAGGGGTGGTGTGGAGGAAGGTGGCCATAACATTGCATTTGGCCAATATTGGCTAAAACAATGTCAGCATTCTCTTCAAAGAAAATAATACGCTGATTTTGAGCCTTTTAAAGAAACATGAGAGTGAGGTGTAGACAGAGAAAGATGGAGACTTGCATGATGTGAAAGAGTTAGTTGATTTACAATTTTGAGCTGTATGATAGGCTGCTGGTTAAACTAATATGTGGATTATAAGGAAAATAAATGAGAAAATAATAAATAAGTGGTAATAAGTTAAAATATAAATATCAATTTTATGAACAGTAATGATACATAGTTTTAAGAGTAATGCTATAGACCACTAATTTACCATCACTAATACCACCACTAGTGAGGTGGCAATTGAAAAAAAAAGGGAAAAAAAAAAAACAAGGCACAAAACACATGTGGCAGTGAGTGGGACCCACTGCCATATCATTAGAGCCACCACTAATTAGTGGTCTAAAGCATTTTTGATAAAATAAAGCACAAATAGTCTTTGGTCGCTTTGGAAACTTAGGAATGAATGTGTCTTTGCAGAGGCTCAACCTAGTCTCTCTGGATTGAGTGAAAATATCAAAATTAGAGCTGTACTTTGGCTGAAAGCATCTATTAAAGATCTTCCTTATTCCGTTGATGATTTAACTTTCAACTGGCGCCAAATCAGAGGATGTTCTTAACTGTTCCGAGCTGCTCTGTGTTGAAATCTGGGTTTGTCATGGATGTCCAGTGGCTGGGGATGGTCTGCTAGTGTTTGGCTGTTGTCTTCTTGTTTTTGTCTTGTTTTGTTCTGCTCTGTTTGTTGGTTTCTCACCATCTTGGAGCCTCGAGTGTGTGCTAGCAGATGATTGGGTGTGCGTTTTGGTGCCAACCTAGTTGGGATCCAAATGTTTCACTGTGATGCTTTTTGCACCCTCTTCTTTATTGATGTATTCTTATCACTCTTGTTTTGTTTTTCATCAATAAAGCTTTTCTTTTGCCGATCAAAAAAAAAAATATCAACAAATTTTTGAACTTTTAATACTATAATTTATTTATATATAAATTGATACTATCTAATATTAACTTATGTATGAATGTATCGTCGATACCGATACGTATCAATATACCGGCATTTAAAACTATGGTTGGAACTTGAGGTGGGGCACTCATTTTCCAAAGTGTTTATGATTTGCATGGTGAAACCCTAGTAGGGAATAATGACAAGTAGGGGGAGTGAGGGGTGGTGTGGAGGAAGGTGGCCATAACATTGCATTTGGCCAATATTGGCTAAAACAATGTCAGCATTCTCTTCAAAGAAAATAATACGCTGATTTTGAGCCTTTTAAAGAAACATGAGAGTGAGGTGTAGACAGAGAAAGATGGAGACTTGCATGATGTGAAAGAGTTAGTTGATTTACAATTTTGAGCTGTATGATAGGCTGCTGGTTAAACTAATATGTGGATTATAAGGAAAATAAATGAGAAAATAATAAACTAAGTGGTAATAAGTTAAAAAATAAATATCAATTTTATGAACACTAATGATACATAGTTCTAATACTAAAATTTTAAATGGAGCTCTAGTAAGGTGGATGAGAGAGAGAGTAGAGAGAGGGGGGGAGAGGTATGGGCCCACTTTCACATGAGTACTCTCCACATCATTAGAGTTGCTTAGAGCTCTCAAATATTATTTTTTTATGAAAGCTTTATAAGTTTGACTTTTAATGTAATAAATTTTATCATTAATGCGTAAGTATTTTCTCAACTTCTACTTAAATGGTATTTCTCCAAAATAAATTAGGTCCACTTATTTGATTTTTAGACAATTCTATTGGGTGTGGCATTGTGATGCAAGCTTCCAATTAATTTGAGAGCAATTACATTACATCCTAGTGTAGTTTTAAAAAAATAATTACATATACATGATAAATTTTATGATTTTAATTATTAATATTTATAAAATTTATCCTTAATTTATAATTATTTTTTAAAAATATCACTAATTTGATATTTCTCCTTAATTTGAAGACTGAGACCAAATCGTGGCCTTAATTTTTTTTAAATAGCCTTAATTTAGCCAATCAAAAAATTAAAAAATAAAATAAAAACATTTAACCTTTTTTCAAGCGCCATAAATTCCTTCCAAGGCTGAAAAAAAAAAGAAATAGATGGAGCTCATGGACAATTCACCAATATCGTCCATACTCCTATGTAATTTAGTTTTGAGGATGAGATAGGATTATATGTCAACTTCGGTCTCATTTGGCAATCTTCAGTTTTAGTTAAAAAGTCACTATAAGTTATCATATCACTCTCTTTACTTTTCTACACATTTTTTCGTAAAAAGTCAAAAAATTACTAAAATAATATGTTTTCAAACAAGACTTAATAATTAGAGTTTTTTTTTTAAATCAAAAAAGCAATCTGTTGATGTAAAATCACAAGTGAGAGGGTAATTTGTATGAAAATTTTGAGAGGGTAATTTGTATGAAAATTGGGCCGAGCTGGGTAATGAGCCGTTATGGGCCACAGTGCGAAGGGTTGAGTAAAAAGGCCATGAAGTTACTCTGGCCCAAAAGAGGTGTAAAGTTACTTCGGTCCGTGAGAGACCTGAAGTTACTCCGGTCCCAAAGAGCTTACGGTAAGTTCGGTCGTCACTCACAAAGTTATCCCGGTTTGGACCGGAATATTAGTTATTCCGGTCTAGACATACCGTGGTTAGCATTAAGAAGAGCCAAGGTAAGAGCAGTGAATGGAAAAGCCGAGCTAATGTTATCTCGGTCTAGTTTGCGACTTAGCATAGCTATGCTTATCTCGGTCGTGTTGAAGTCTGACCATGATAGAACCATCTCACTTGGTTTATGCAGTGAGGGGGATGTTGAAGGATAAGCATTATCTTTCAGGAGTATGAATCTTAGGAGGACTCTACATGGAAGAATAAAAATCCTACTAGGATTGTACCACGCGGAACCTATAAAAGCTTACAACATCACCTATGGAGAGGTAACACATAATTTTGATTCCTGAATACACAGAACTTTTGTCTACTTGTCTATTTTGCTGACTTAGGCATCGGAGAGGTTTCCGGCACACACCCGCCGGCTAGCTCACGTTTGTGTTTTCAGGGAGTAAAGCGACGACGTTTAGAGGAGCGCAGACTTGATCAACAAGATTATACGAGAATATTTATTTCTTTCCCATACAATAAGCATTACAAATACATCAAACAAAATGCATTAAAAGTCATCTATCTCAATCATCTACCAGCACCCTAAAAAAAGCTAAAGATTGAAGAGATTCCAACCGACTGCCAAAACAGGGCCTGACCCAAAGAAGAATATAAAAAATTGGAGTTAATAGTTATATAATTTTTTTTTAAACAAAATAATAACTAAACCCATTGTGTACTTATTTTAGTAATTTAAATTATTCAACTAATAAGACTTGTCAAAAAAATTATTAATGTAGAAAATAAATTGATGAAACATTGGTAGTCATGTGGTTAAATACATTGGTTTTTGGTAGACGAAAAGTCAAACTATGTGTCAATTTAGTCTCTGTAGTTTACACAATGTGTCAATTGGATCTCATCAAACTTAATAATCGTTATTTATTGGACTAAAATGACACAATCCGTTAAATTAAGAGGCAAAATCGAGCAAATTGAAATAATAGATACCAAACCAAATTGACATATCGTATAAACTATAGAGACTATTTGCATAATTTATCCAAAATAAAACTTTTTGACTCAAAATTATTTTCTCTAAAAATACATTTATTAGTGATATTTTCAAAAAATTTAGAAACGATTTTTTAACAACAATCCTTTCGATGGTAGTAATTAGACCTTGAGTATTTTTTACAACAAAATTTTATTTTTAGAACAAAAAAAATTTAATTCCTAAAACCTTTATATGTTGCCGTGAGAGTTAGATGAGAATCTTGTCGACTTTATCATCAAATCCAATTAATAGAGTGAAGGAAAGGCTCAACCTCAATGAATCTTTTTTTTCTTGTAGCGATAGTGAATGTGGGAAATTCTATTTCCACGCATCATTTACTCTCTATCAATACACTTAATGAATTTTTTTTATTATATATTTTTATCCTAAAATGAAACTACCAAAATACCATTTCTTCTTCAATCAAAACCCTAACCTTTAATCAAAACCTTAGCCACTACCTACTACCAATAGCCATCGCCCACCACCACCCGTCACCACCCATCACCTCTAATCCTTTCCCTAAACATGGTAATATCTTCATCCTGTCACCGCCTCATCATCACACCACCCTCACGCAACCTTCTCCACCATCGTAGGCATTGTGGAACCTAAATCTGGAAAGAAGACTCATTTTCTTACCATTTGAATTACCAATATCAAAAGAATCGCCTCCATTCGGAAATCAACCATCGAACCAATGAATTTGGTTCGACCTTTAACATCCGTAGTGTACTTCCGAACCTTACATATTAGTTCAATGCTGTACTTCTATTGGCTGTATAAATTGTATAAAGCCAATTGCGATTCAACACGTGGTTTAAGAAGAGCAATTTGGGAAGACAATATAAATCGCCAACCATAGTCAGACACATGTCAACCCATACTGGCAATAATGGGTCTGCATAACATTGGAATGATCAAGGGATATAAGATGATGTGGCCTAACGGTTACTCACAAGATTCAAATTCAAAATTAAGAGGGAAGTCTAATTGCAGACATGGCGTAGTGGAGCTAAGTATGAAGAAGCATGATCAACAATTATGGAGGAATGC